GCCTACTATGTCATGTATCCTAGTATCAGGATGATGATATGTTGTAGTGATCTGTTATATCTATATGATTATATGTTTGTTGGCTATATGTTTCTCTATTTCATATGTTATCATAGTGTTGTTGGTTGAGGCAATATTGCTTTGTGCGGAGGCCAACAAACCTGGGAGCAAGCCAAACATAAGTTATGGGCCGGAAAGGAAAGTCAGACTTATGTTGTGGGCTTGGGAGCAATCCAGACATAAGTTTTGGGCAAACCAAACTCATGTTATGGAGGATGTTGCACAAGTTATAAGCTTATTTATATTTGGGCAATTTTATTTAATGATGTCGTTATTTACACTTAATGTCCAAAGTATATTTCAATCATTTCGTTGTTTTCCAAATATTACACATAATAACATCCGACTTTATTGTCTTCTCCATATATAGCAATCTACCTTGTTATTTCTTCACTATTAGGTTTAAGCACCAAAATATTTGCATCATTTCACTTATCTTATTTTTATAACACTTATAACTATAACTCCAACTGTATCGTATTGTATATAACATGCCAAACATATTTTCTCATTTTCCTTGTCCCGCCTTGGAACATAACATTTGCATGTTTTGTTTGTTTTTACTATTTATTGCATAAACATGCTTTCAAGCATACAAAAAAATCAATATAGTATGAGTTATTTATAATGGTATTTCATTTAAAGTTGGTCATTAGATCATGTTTGGCAAATTTCAATTATTTGTCCATATTTTACACACCGTAACGACTCTACCCTTTTAATCAACATGCAAAAGCATAATTCTTCATATTAACTTATTATAACACCTAAGATGGATTTGAAGGATATTACAAATATTAAATCCTTAAAAAAGATTTTACCCCTTGAATTATTAAGATAATAGTAAATTTGTTAACTAACAATGAATATCTAAATTCTGATTTCCAAGTATGTTCTTAAAACTTTCTTGAAAAATCCTACATTCTCAAGTTCTTTATCTTTATCGCATACTCATATACATAAAAATTATTTTGAATGTTAGTCGACTCATTAGTCGTTATAATTTGACTTCCCAAAAATCGACACATGTTTCACTCACCTCAAACTCATAGTAATTCACTTATAAATTTATATATTGTTGTTCTTATTTGTCTTGTAACTATTGGATTTTCTCTCGAAATTATTTATTCTTTCTTTATATCAATCTTTGTTTGTCTTACACTATCAACTAGTCTTTCTATATATACCAATATACTTTGGCACAACCATCACTTTTACTTATCTATATTGTCTTTACCATTAGACTACTTACGAATTTCATAATCCTTTGATCATATATTCATAGTAACATTATATTTTGAAGTCTTTACTTGATTTCCAAACAACATTATTTTATATTTATCTTTCCCCAATCTTGGTGTCATTACACACCTTGGTCGCTAAAAGTTAATTATTCCCTACATTCCTCAAATGAATTTGTAATCCTTTCTTTCTCAATAAATGGCTTCCAAAGCAATGTTCTTTTAATCTTAACCACCTTAACCTTATAACAATAGATTTCATGCACCATAACTACACTGTAATGGATTTGAAGGTTTCTCATCACATAACTAATATATTTGCACACACTTTGGTATATTTTTTCCATTCAAAATATGTTACTGCCCCAACATTTTTATGTATTAATTCGTAAAGTCAATATTTTCTAATTTCATTATACTTTACTCGTTTCATGTGTTTTCATATACCTAACTTTTATGGATGATTTGGAATTCAACTACTTACACTTCTTTCGTAATCATATGATTGTAACATACATGTATTTCCTACATATAGGAATTTTAGCTATTATCCATGACTTTTGTACTAACATTTCATTTTGAATCCACATACATTCGTCATAATTTATAGATTTCAACATTTTATGGTCACACACATGACTTATAACACTTACTAATCAAGCTCCCAATATTACATTTGACGTGGGTGGACAAAATATTACTAGAGTCTTAGGTCAACAATCAGGTTTCTTGTTAACCCAATACAACATGTCATGTCCATGTCATTACTAAGTTGCATGGATCATTTGGTTATGCATCCAACATGCTCAACACGTCTATAAATTTGTAAATCTTACGACCAAATCACATTTATTCATGGGAGTTTCCACAAGGATTGGATGATATGTCCTAAGTTTGATTAAAGTATAAAAGTGAAGGGCTTTATTAGATGTTCTATTGAACTTATTTTATGATTGAATTTTGTAAACAAATGAAGTATTTATGTTGTCTTAAACTAATATGAATGAGGTAAAAGCAGGTTCTATTGATGACCACTAGCACGGACAATCAAGTCAGTACCTGAATGTTATTATTATTGTAGACCTAACAAGTGAATTGTACTACTTTCAGTAACGTCAAAGGTAGGCCTGACAATGGAGCAAGTTTGGAGCAGATCAGTGTTGATCCAAACCCGTTAAGCAATTTTCAAATGATGATCCAAACCTGACCTGTAACCCACAGGGTTTTGAATGATTAAACCCATTCCCTTATCCACCGGATCAACGAATTTCAATGCTTTTACCCGATCAATTTACAATATTAAGTTTAGGTTAATATTATTCATTAAAACACATATAACATGATCACTAAAACCAAAAAACATTCACTCCAAAACAAACACCAATTATAGATATATAAATAACTCTTCCAATGTATTATGATTGTGGAATGTCGATCACTCGATTATCGCATTTTCTTATTCTTCTTCTTCTTGAATCTTGGTTGAACCTTTTTCTTCTTGCTCTTGCGTCTTGATTGTGGACTATCAATTTCATAATTGATTTCAAAAGATTATAAAGTCGATTATATTCGGAGTCGACTGCAATCAGCCATTTGGATTAGGAACTGAACTAGGAAGGTGAAGTAGAATGTCTAACAGTCTAACTCCTTGACTCATATATGTGAAGATTGATAAATGTATTATTACTTATAAAATAATTAATTTATATTTCAAAATTTAGATGGAGAGGGTCATAAACGGATCCGATCGATAGTGATCCATACCCGACCCTTTTAATAAAAGGGTTAACGAGTATGGGTCGTTAATGGGTAAACGAATCATAAAATATGATCCAAACCCATTAATTTTGCACGGGTTTGGGGCGGATCAGGGTCAAAACCCGCTTCATTTCTTGGTCTAGTCAAAGGGGTGGAGGGTTTAGGAAAATGGCTTAAAGATATGTTGGTTGAAAACGGGTGTAGCTTTAATGGAAAAAAAGATGTTTCAAATGCATGTGGATTAGGAGAGTCTATAAGGGCGATGATAATGGTTGTGAGTTTAATGGCAATTTAATAACAAAACTTGGACTCGTTGTTTTCATTTTTTATTGTTGCAAAATTGCAAGATTTTTCCTTAATTACACATGGATGTTTGTCAACATTTTTTTTACAATTTAACATCAATTTAGGTGTTTTCAATTTTCTTTTTAGATTATTACCCAAACATGAGAGAGAGAGAGAGAGAAATAGGCAAGGATTTTAACAAAAAGACAAAACATAGGCAAAAGTACCATTTTACAACGTTTAACACCATATTTCTAACGGTGTTAGAGGAGGGACGACCAATGCAAGAAAATCCTAATTCAAGGACTATTGGTGTAAAAAGTAGAACTTGGACTCAAGTTGTTTGATTTAGCAAACTATAAGGAGCATTAAAAAAACATCTTCAGATAAACCTTTTTTCTATAGGATATTTGAGCAAAATTGGAAGGCAAAAGTAAATGTAATGGTTTTAACAATTAAAAAAATTACATGAGGATTTTTTTTTTTTTGACTAAAGACCTAAAATAAGTTGGGTTTTATTGTATTTTTTCCATTGTTATTTCATGATGTTTAGCCCAACAAATAACCCCTAAAGGCCAAAGCCAAACCAAGCAATGTGTTAAGAGAAGCATGAAATCCAGGACTAAAGAAAAGTGGGGTTTTGACTTTTGACAATCAAGTGACTCCAAGATGAAATCGATAAGCCTTAGACTATATCGACGACAACACCCCCACTAACTTCAGACACAATTAGTGTTGTAAAACTCGTCGAGTTGGCCGAGTACTCCGTACTCGGCCCCTTACTGAGGCGAGTTAGGAAATCCGAGTACTCCTCGATCCGCCCCTTACTGAAGCAAGTAATATTGTAAAACTCGAGCAACTCGGTGATTAGTATGTATAATATACTTAATGATTTATTATTTAACACACAAACATGTGATTATTACTACATATATATCTTAAATTCTTAGTAATTATTCACGAAATGAGATAATTATGTGTTTTTCAGTTTTTATATATTCACATATATCTATTTTTTATATATATATTTCAATCAACTTATGATTTTAACTTATGATTTTGACATATATAATTTCCTTAATAATATTTCTACATGAATTACCGTATCCGAGTACTCCTCGAGTACTCGCTACTTGATAGTCAACTAAACAGGTACCGAGTAACGAGTTCTACAATCATGGACGCAATCAACATATTTTTTTTTTTTTACAATTTAACATCAATTTAGGTGTTTTCAAATTTCTTTTTAGATTATTACGCAAACATGAGAGAGAGAGAGAGGCAAGGGTTTTAACAAAAAGACAAAAACATGAGCAAAAGCATCATTTTACAAAAGTCTAGCAACATATTTCTAACGGTATTAAAGGGAGGGAGGGACAACCAATGCAATAAAATGCTAGTTTAAGTACTATTGGTGTAATAAAAATAAAACTTGGACTCAAGTTGTTTGAATTACCAAACCATAGGGAGCATTAAAAAAAAATATTCAGATAAACCCTTTTTCTATCGGATATTTGAGCAAAATTGAAAGGCAAAATTAAATGTAGGCGTTTTAACAATTAAAAAGTTACATGAGTTTGTTTTTTTTTTTTTTTTTTTTTTTAAGAACCCAAAATGAGTTTGCCCTTGTTATTTCATGATGTTTGGCCCAACAAATAACCCCAAAGGCCGAAGCCTAACCAAGCAATGTGTCGAGAGAATCATGAAATCCCCGGGCAAAGAAAAAGTGGGGTTTTGACTTTAACTGACCGAAGATGAAATCGATGAGCCTCAGACTACATCGACGACAGCACCCCCAGTAACTTCAGACGCAAGCAGATGAAAATCCACGGAGACGTGAATGTTCAGTCGCTGTTTCATTCATTCAGACATGGGTTTAGAAGCCTCTCTCACAACGCCCACTGGGTTACTTCATCTGGATTCCAAATTTCTATTGCAAGTAGCATACTCAGTGTTGCTGGTTTGATTCTTGCTTTAAGAGATGAAAGAGGAAGGAGGGGTTTCAATAATTTATTCTTATCATGGTCGTCATCGTCGGAGAGCGAATCTTCGCCTGAGATATCGTGGGTCGTTCCCGGATTGCAAAATCTCGGCAACAATTGCTTCTTGAACGTCGTTCTGCAGGTATCATAAGCGTTATAACTTATCAATTTTACAATACAAATCCACATGGTTTCTGCTAGGACTTTCATTCCATGATGCATTACTTTGTTGGAATTTGATTTTTTTTAGGCTTTGGCCAGCTGTTCTTCCTTTCTGAGTTCCCTCCAGAAGATTGTGGAGGATTTCGAAGCTTCATCAGAGATCGAAGTAAACGAGGACATGCCACTTGCAGTCTCGTTGAATGCTCTATTGCAAGGTAACAATCTTACCATGAAACACCCCCAAATGATTCCATATCATCAACTAAAAAGCTGAGATTTACTGTAGAATTATGCATCATTCGACATAAAGGAAAAGTATTAAGTCCACGAAAAGTGATGCTTGCAATGGCTCTTTATACCCCTAACTTCAACCTAACTAGTCAACAGGTTAGACTATCACATTAGCACATCGAACATGTTTCCCTTTTGTTCTATGATCTTTTGTTTGATATATTCTTGACTTTTGTTCAGGATGCAGAAGAAGCATTAGCCCACATGTTATCTTCTTTAAGAGAAGAATGTTCAGTATGTTTTGGCTCAAATCATAATTCTCTAACTATTGCAACTGCATCCAGTAATCGTATTCTTCCCCCAAATGGAAGGATTATTCACAGTGATCTAGAAAGATGGACTCAGAGTTTTCTTGGACCCTTTAATGGAATCATTGGCAGCATTTTGACTTGTCAAAGCTGTTCGTTTCAGGTTGAATGGTACTTCTGTTTTTCTTTCTTTTTTCACTAATCACAGTTTTCTTCTTATGTTTAAATATAAGAAGTGGATGAGTTTCATATTTCACATTTTTCTAATTCATTTTGCAGATTTCACTCGACTTCCAATTCTTCAATTGTTTATACCTTTCACCACCAACATATGGTGGTGGTTCTATCGTATGTAAAATTCATATATTTTAACTTTTAATTTGTTATACATGCTAACAAGAGTTATCATCAAAGTTAACATATACTGTTTTATGATCCTATTATCATATTTAGATGCCTGGATGCTCTATAGAAGATTGCATGAAGCAATTTTTTGTTGCAGAAAGGCTTGAAAATTACTTTTGCACTCATTGCTGGCATACTTCTGCCATGAAATATTTATCTCTGCTAAATAAAAACGAGGTGAGTAGTGAGTTACAATTATTTATCATTTATCTAAACAAGATTTTGTTGAACTAAAATAGTATTCATGCTCAAATTATCAGACAGATATTGAAAAACTCCAAAATTGTAGCAAACAAGATACATGTGGCTGCAGAAATATACAATCTCTTAAATCATTACCTTGGTCAAATAACTATTCACATACATTCAAGCAATTACATATTGCACGTAGTCCAAAGGTAATGTTATATTCTTTATTTAACCTTTTATGTTAATGTACATTTTGACTCTAATAAATGTGTTCTTATACTTGTATAGATTTTATGCCTCAATTTACAACGTGCTTCAATTAATGCATTTGGGGAATCCGTTAAGCTCCAGGTAATTCTTTTTTTTTTTTTTTTTTGTTATGTGTTCATGTATATTGTTATTTATAACCAAAGTTTATAATTTTAGGGTCATATCACTTTTCCTTTGAGTTTGAACATGTCACGATTCCAAAACGGAGGAGTTGAAATAAAACATATGGAGCAAAATCAACAGCCGATTCGTTATTCTCACATCTTCAAATTACAGAATGATAGTTACCCTTTGTGTAATGTATACAAACAAGGAAAAGAAAGCAATTTAACAGAAAGATCTACTGATTATGTGGAAACTATTGATACTGAATTAGAAATCCAAGAGGAACAAAGTCATGAGACTTTGAAGTCAACACCAAATGGAGATCATACATACAATCTTGTTTCTGTTGTGGAGCATTTTGGAAGCACAGGAGGTGGGCATTACACGGTTTACAGAAGAGTAAGTAAAAAGAAAACAAATGATAATAATAATAATAATACAGAAATTGATGTGATTTCAGAGCCTTGTGATGTGTATTGGGTTGGGGTGTCAGATAGCCATGTTTGTAGGGTATCTGAAGAAGATGTTCTTGGCTCAAGGGCTAGCTTGCTTTTCTATGAAAGAGTTTTAGAAAGTTGATAATTTGGTGATAGAAACAATCAAACAATGAGCTTGTTTTATGTTGAATTCAGATTGGAGTTTTGAGTTTTGTAACTGAGATGGATTTTAAATTAGCTTATATTTTTTTTTATAAAGTGATTATAAGGTTAAGTTGGTTTTGGATGTTATGTTGTATAATAAACGCTTTCAAATAAAATAAAGTAGTTTATAAATAGTTTATTAAAAAAGTAGTCCAACCTTCAAAATGATGTCAATATTACACATTTTTCTTGTGTCTTTTGTAAGTTTGCAATAGTTTTTTCTTTTAAATAAGTTAACTATAAAAATGTGAAAAGGAGACAAATTGAGGAAATAAGAGAACAAGTGAATTGTATCATTACGAATGAAAAGGGAACACAAACCGACATGTGCATCGACGAAATTGAGTTAGTTACATATAAATATTTGAGTGGTCATTAAAATACTATTTCTCACGCTTTTTCTATTCCTCATAACCACACATTTTAAAGTTACAACAAGATGACGCAAATTAGTGAGCTTTAGTTCGCGGTTTAAGGTTACCAAAATGCAAACTTTAAATCTGATATCTAACACATGCTCTCTTTCAACAATAAGAAAAAGGAAACTGCAAATAGATCGTGATTTATTTGTAATTGATGTTTGTTGGAAAACATGACATCACAACAACTGTCATATTTTAGACTTATATGTTGGTATCGACTATCGAGTCTTGTTCAAAATGAAAAACCCTAGTTCGCATTGTAAAACAAAGCTTGTAGATTTATTTATCATGCACAAATGATTAAAATTTTCGTATTCTACTTCTTCTCTATCCAAGAATCCGAAGTATCAATGTTGCTGTTTGTGGAGATAAAAAATATTTTGAATTTAACAAACAACAATTTTTCTAATAAGTATCGAATAATAATATTTTTATTAAAAGTACAAAAAGACAGTATTAAAAGTTACAAATCATAATATTATAAAAAACACTAAATAATTTAATAAGAAAGTAGAGTGGGTGGTCTGTAGGCCTGACAATGGAGCGGGTTTTGATCCTGATCCGATCCAAACCCTTAAAAATTATATGGGTTTGGAGCATAATTTTTTATCCGTTTACCCGTTAACGATCCGTACCCGCTAACCCTTTTATTAAAAGGGTCGGGTATGGATCAGCACCGATCCGCTCCGTTTATAACCCGCCCCATATAAATTTTAGAAATATAAATTTATATTTTATATTGCCTAAAGTTTACATTAAATTCCAATCAGAAATCCAAAGATAAAAGGCCAAAGACTAAATTATTTTTACATAGGAGTCAACGACTCAACTTCTAGACTTCCAGTCTTCTACTCTTCTCCCAAGATTCATGATTTCATTTCATTTATATTTCATCATGTAATCACCAATTTCATTTATAAATCAATAAGGTTATTTATCAACCGGAAGAAAGTTTGTAATTTCTATTTTATATCAATGCAATCAACGGTCAAAAACTAATAGGAAGTAACTAAAATTATGATTTTAACTCCAATAGAAAGTCCTTGAGTACATCATGTGTTTTCTAAATCAAAACTTAGTTTTATTTAATAAATGTGATTTTATGATTTAAGTAAAATGTGTTTTATTATTCAAAAAACGTACGCGTTACGGGATGGGTTTGAATATCTGCTGATTCGGTGGATAAGGGTATGGGTTTGATTATTCAAAACCTTGCGGGTTACAGAGCGGGTTTGGATCAGATTTTAAAATTTGTTAAAAGGGTTTGGATCAAAATCGATTCGCTCCAAACCCGCCCCATTGCCAGGTCGAATTCATAAGGGTGAAACACATGGATGATTGTCACAACAATGTTGGCAAGTAGGATCTGTATAGGCAATGCGACATCCATTTTTACAACACTGAAATTTTTCCAAATACCTTCTAATAGCCTCATGACCAAGGTTAGAGGTGGCAAAAATTGACACGATACGAAACCCGACACGAAATAAACGGGTTTGGGTAAGATATTTCAACCCGTTTAAATAAACGGGTTGACACGACACGACACGAAAATTAAATGGGTAAGGTTAGGGTTGAGAATTTCAACTCGAATATGACTCGAAAATTACCGTTTATTTATATGCAAGTTTTTTGAATTATTTAAATAAACTAGAAAGATACAAAACAAAACCATTAATAAAAGAAAACTTTCGAATTGAATTGTTTTGTAATGTTGAAATGACTTAACCGTCTAGATCAAAACTTCATTTCAGTTTTCCCATTCTCTCCCAAACTACCCAGTCTCTTTCACCACTCTCACATCCTTATGATCATGTCATCTGCCTCCCAAACTCTCACTCTTTTAATTTTGTCATCTAAACTTGCTATGACTTCATTTATTCTGCCTCCAAACTATTAGTTTTCCCTTTTCGTCTACCCAACTCCTACTCTTTCAACATGCTCAATCTTTTAACCTCACATGACACGACATATTTCAAGGTATAGACCTACCCTGAAACCCGACACGAGCTCGACACGAAAATAAACAGGTTGACACGACACGACATGCTAATTAAATGCTTCGGGTTCGGATCAAGCACTTTCAACCCGTTTGGTGTTTTGACACGACACAAACCCGACACGACACGATTGCCACCTCTAACCAAGGTACAAGTAGGGCAAACAATGATATTTAGGCCTAATAGACAACTAAGCACTAAGGACCTAAAGTTGATTGGGTCATGTTGAAGCAGTAGAATCACTAGAAGAACTCTTAGGTAGCATGTCAATCTATACATTTGTAAGTAGATTTTCGCACCATTTTTAAACAATTATAAGTTGTCATTAGAATCACATTTCTCATCAATAGAGTTTACATCATTCCTAGCACATAACAACTTTAGGCTACTAGTAGATAGCGATGTTCTTTGCGATGCCATTGATAACAATTGCATGTGGAAGATTGTAAAACATTAATACGTCGTGAATGAAATAAATGTCACATAAAAAGTTATCAAAATTTGATTTTGGCTGGAAATCATAGTGAGTCAAAACTCGTAATGTGTGAACATTTTTAAAATTTTGGGAAGAAAATGGTATAGTAACGATGATGAAAATGGGAATGAACAAATATCACTAAATAACAATTCACCTCCCAAATATATATTCACTTTCTATTCACATATTCGTTTTCATGTATGTAAGGTTGTGAAAACATATAAATATCAGTTTGTTTTAGATATTTGTTTTCAAAAACAAATATGCATATTATTTATAGTTATAGATTATATCCATAAATTATGTTTTTCAAGAGTTACTGGTTTTCAAAGTACAATGTTACAATTGTACATGTTTGCAGTTGTGTGTTTGACTGTATGTATACATGACTGTCATGTGTTTGTATGGTTGTGTATGTGTAGCAAAAACAAAAAGGTACATGGCAATTTATATTTTTGCCACACATTCTACCTCTTTCACAACAAAGTCAATTTTCACAAAGATAAATATATTGCTTAATCTCTCGCAACACACGAGCTTTAAACCATGGTTTAATAACAAAAGTCAAAAAATCTTCCCACAAGCTCTAATGTATCTTTTTTTCTATTTTTCCAAAAAATCAGCACTTTTTTCAAATATTTGTTGAAATATCACTTATCCAAACCACTAAATAATATAGAGAGCAATGACTAAATAAGACTAGGGGTTTTTTTACACTGTAGCACAAAGAAGTTTGACCAAGTTACACATTTAGTGACTCAAGTTTTTTTTTTTGTGCACAATTAATCACTAAAGTTGTAATTTACGTGTCAATTACACCATTTTGTTTCCTGATACTGGAAGAATCGGTAATATACTGACGTGGCATTTTGATTTTAAAACACATTAAAAAAAAATTATGAAGGCCATGTACACTTCCTTCTCTTTCCAGTGGCACTGTACTCCCTTCAAGGTAGTGATCACGAACACCATCTTCTTTCTAGATCTATTGGAATCTCCTTCTCTCGTTCTCCCCTCCTACGAGCCCAAACCTCCCTGCAAAGTCTCTTTCCCAATACCCATTCTTCCACTATAAGTGAGATGGAGAGAAAGAGTTATATGGAGAAATTGAGTGAGATTGAAGCATATTACTGAGTCACAGGGACAGTTGATTAGTTTGTAGATGGGAGAGGAAACAATGTCAATGGCGTCGACCCGAGTGAACCACTATAGCAGTCAACGACATCCATCTGAGTAACCGCACTCCGCCTATGAATCAGAGAACGAAACCCATAATCAAGCAATCCATATGAACATCACCAACTACAAAACACAACAGATGAAGTTGTTTGATTGAAATTAGTTGCAGGTTGAAGGCTACCAAACCCAACATCATCGACTGCAAAACCCAGTAAATGAACATACATGGGTATGATTAAAGGGGAAATGCTACATACACATGAAGATACCTAAAAATAGAAGCACTCTCCATTGCAACCTATGGTCAGAAAAAAAAAATGAAGATCGATACTTTGACCCTATGAAGAGCACCGACTGAACCTCGTTCCTACAATTATCCTTCTGTACACCAAAATCAAAAAGCATTAACCGCCAAATTTCTGTAAACGATTTGGCTATATGCAATAAAAACGATGTCTAGGAATGGAAACAAGAAATCCATCAAAAATTAGAAATCAATTGGCCTACAAATATGAAATTCATAAATTAAATGACATCAAATTAACACAGAACCACCATTGGGTTGTAGAAACATGTAGATGAGTGTCGTCGGCTGAAGAAGCAACGCTAAAGGAGGAAGAAAAGGTTTGTTTCATGTGTGCGTGTTTGGAGTAAGGCACAAAGTTTCCATAGCTAGGATTTCTCTAGGAGGGTATATCACAACCTTCAATGGAAGCCATTATTTTTAAGGTTCATATAAATAAGATGAAAAGGAGGTGGAAGCCATGGTTTTCTAGGTTTCATAAGAAGAGGAGAATGATGTGCCAAGAAGAAGAACCACATGAGTGTGAAATAGGCTGAACAATTTAGGGCTTTTTTG